AGGTCTAGGTTGGATATTAGGAAACACTATTTCACTAGGAGGGTGGTGAAGCACTGGAATGCGTTACCTAGGGAGGTGGTGGAGTCTCCTTCCTTGGAGGTTTTTAAGGCCCGGCTTGACAAAGCCCTGGTTGGGATGATTTAGTTGGGAATTGTCCTCCTTTGAGCAGGGGTGTTGGACTGGATGACCTCCTGAGGTCCCTTCCAACCCTGATATTCTATGATTCTATGATACGTTTGACTATGTTTTTCCTTATCCCTCTTGGCTGATGATAAATGAAGATTTTTTTTTTATTGATGTTAAACATTCATTGGATCAGGGGCTGGAATTTGACTCACTCATCTCCAAGGTGAGTGCCCTAACTACTGGTTTTTAGAGTCATTTTCATGGTCTCTGGCCCAAAGTGAAATGGCTTCAACAGGAGAGATTGAGACAGACCAACCCCAAAATAACCAATGTTTATGAAAGGGGGTCAGGTGGCTACTACCAGCACTATGTTTTTGTCCCCAGAAGCCTTTACAGCTATTCTGAAGGAAAATGGGCCCTCTTCCCCCAGGAATGGTTTGTAAATATGATTTAATCAAAATCACTAAAGAAATGTAACTTAACTTGACTGCCTCCGATTCTACAAGATGGGGATGTAATTTGGGTACAGTTGTGTAAAAATGGTAGCAGCAAGGAGTATTAGGCAAAAGAGAATGTGTGGGTGTAATTATGTAAAACTTTAAGGACCTAAACCAACATTCATGGTTTGTAAAATCCTGTTTGTAGGTTTAAGATAAATTGGTTTGGTTTTTGTTCTTAAATAAAGAAGAAACAATGCTGCTAAAACTCCATTTGAATCTCTCATTCAAAGTTGTAACACTGACAGATCCTTGTGCCAGACATGGGTAGCTAGTGTGATGTGGCTTTGGTATTTAGCATTTAGCCCTTTGGGTACCTTTCATGTGTCTTTCTTTTTTTTTTTTAAATAGAGTTTAATATCTTTTAAATAGGAACCAGAGAATGTGGCCCTGGCTGGAGCGGCCAGAACTGGGAGAATGGGGAGAGATTCTCAATCCTTTTTGGTAGTAAATAGCTGCTAAGAACTGCAGGAGGGGAACAAAAAGTAAAAAGACAATGTACCTCTGAAGCAAAGGCGGGGTGGAATGTACAAAAAAGCAATGTCAGCAGTA